ACACAAGGAAGAATAAGTGAGCAAAGAAAGCTTTGTTCTCCTGATCCAGACACAAGCTCTCTGTGGAAGGAATGCAACCTCTGGAAATGACAACTTCCATCAGGATCAAGTCCACGAGGCCGTGCAGCTTCTCCTCTTCCTGATCAGCTAACACTGGTCAGACAAGTGCGTTGAAAAACAAGGCACACACGGACCAAACAGCATTTTAGTCCCATGAGAGTGCAGTAACTAATGTCCTGGTTACAAATGGGATGATCTTCCTCTTCTGTCTCCACAGGTGGGAACCTCTAGTGGGTGGCAAGATTTTGAGTAGGTGAGCGTGATGGCTCATATCAGCTCCCCCTGAGTTGAGACGGAATCTCCTGTCCCACAGGGCAGTGTGAGAGAAAGAACACGAGGCTTGGAGTTAGGAGGTCTGGCTTTGGCCTTGGCTTGTATTTGCGCTTCGGGTCTTTGGCACATTCCTTCCCTGCCCTGTCGAGGGAGGCTTTCTTCCTCTCCCGGCAGCCCAGTGAGTACCCTAGCCTAGATCATAGGGAAGACCCGACGTGCTCTTCCTGCTCATTGCCCTGGCTGGATCCTGTTGAGTTTGTTCTGGGTTTGCTGAAGGCAGAGCTCTTCGACTTTTGCTTTCTCTTCTACCTTAAGCATCTCATAATAATCGCTGCTCCTCATATCTTCCTTTTCTTGCCTTTTCATAGTGGATTTTGTGATTGAGTTTGATAAACTTTAAAAACACAGCCACTGGGAAAGTTCTGCTTTATCTCATCCCGAATATCCTCTTGCCTACCTTCAGGAGGAAGTGTGGGCAGCTCTGAATACATCCAGTCAGCACTGCCAATTCTCACCTTATTTTGCTTGAGGGTCATACTGAGATGGAGGGAAGGGAAGGGCCATTGGTCCAGAAATGGTCACCAGCACCCTGAAAAATCTTATAAAATCAACCAGAGAACCATTGATGGGAGATTTCCCTGGCTTTTAGGGGAGCTGTCACCGCAGGGGGTTATTCCCAGGGAGAGCTTTGGGCAGGGCTTGAAGGACGGCAGCAGGAAATCCCCCACGCCTGTCTTCTCTTCATAGCCTTCTGGACCACATTTGCTGGTTTCAATCACACGGAGTGTGGGTTTCTTTCCCTTCAGGACAGAGAGCCCGCACAAACACAGCAGAACCCTGCTGCCGCCTTCTGCCTGAGCTCAGCTGTCCTAGCAGCTAATCAGAGTCCATTCTTCTCAACTCTTGGGCTGACCTCAGGGTGGAAAGGTCTGGCCATGGTCCAGGATACCATTGTGAGTGTATGTATGTGCATGTGTGTGCGTACTCGTGCATGCAAGGAAAGGTGACTGCAGTTCTGGCAAGGTCAGGTGGAACTAAACCATCACAAAAAGCAGTACATTACACCCCTCTTTCTGGGTGCCTCCAGTACCTAAGGCCCATAAAAGGAAAACTGCTCCCATGTTTTAGAAGGGGAAGAAAATGAAGTCCACTTCCCAACCCCAGGCCTTGTCTGGCCTGAGAACATCGTTTAAATTATTCTAGTCACAGGCAGGCTATTCAAATAAAACAGAATTTCAAACCACATGGGGCTTGTTGAGAAAGGCAGGCTTCCCGAATGTGTGAAAGGCAAGGGGAGGGGCAGAATGGCCCCTGCCACTCTCCAGTCCTGAGTATTAGCCACAGCTGCAATGCTAGACACATCAGAGTGTGTCTCACAGTCAAGGAGGACTGGAGCAGGCCTGACAGCAAGTGAGCACATGAAAGCCACCGCAAGGCTTCCCTCCCCTGTGGCAACTTTAATTATTTGAACTGGAGCTCAGTGAAATAAAAATAAAAATAAAACAAAAATCAGAATATATTGTAAGTGGCTCCCCAGTTTCCTGCAGAGAATAGTTTGTGGCAGGAAGGGGAACCAAAAAGCCACAGTGCTCTCTCTGTTTGTGGCTGGGCTAGGCAGAGGTCTTTAAATATTCATGCCTTATGTGCAACTGTGTAGAGAGGGGGAGGAGGTGGTGCCTGCAGTAGTGGCCCACCAAGGCAGGTGGCAGTGGTGGCAGCAGGTAGCCATTGGGAGTACATGAGAGCTGGCAGGTTTCCGGAAGACCCTAGAAGTTGAGTTGGCCCAAGGTGCATGCTGGCTGTGTCTCCATTGGTGGGCATCTGTCCTGCTTCCATATGCTCCCCAGCCCCTATGTTTCTCCCACCTCTACCTGTGTTTCTGTTCCAACATTTCCATTTCCAGATCCTTTGTTGACTCATGTTTCACAATGGAAATCTGCATTGCACTGTTTGGGGTGGCAGGTATTATAATGGACTTAGGATGAATTTTGCTTGCCTTTGGCAGGAACACTTACAACCAATAGATCTGAAGATCCAGAGCCAGCAAGCAAATCACCAAGGATGGGGTTTGAAGATGCAGAGATCCTGCCTCGTGATGTCTTTTAGGAAGTCAAGGGTTGGTACAGGAAGCCCCATTTGTCCATTTTCCAAGGGAACACAAGTAGAGAAACAGACAACCAGTCAACTCAGTCTTAGATTTTGAGGAAAATTCATTGACGAAGATCCCAGTTCTTTGTAAGATGAATGTGGGGTGTCTTGAAGAGCATTTTGAAATATTCTGCATATGTAAATTTCTGAAGACCAGGACTGCCCTGTGTTTAGAGACAATGCTCTGTAATAGGCATGAGGCCTGGAGTCCAGGTTGGCCCACTCCCTGTGGATTAGTCCCCTATCAAAGACATTGCCCACAGTTTTATCTAGCATCCATCTTCCCGCATTCAAACCACTCATCCAAGGGAGGCCCTCTCAGGGCTTGTGGGCTTCAAAGGCCTGAGTTAACCTCGTGATTTCCCACATCAGTGTGGTGTGCAGGGCTGTCCCTGTTATCAGAGCTCAGCTATTCTGGAAGAAAGAACTCCATTTCCTACCTTGTGTATTGAGGATTTGGATGTAAAGGACAGGGGTTCCAAACCTGGAAACACATATTTCTATTTTGGTTATTTATTTACTTTTATTTCATTTTATTTTTCTAAAAGCATTGCTCACAACATTGAGAGTTTATCAACATTAGATGAACAATGGTCTGAAATGCTGAAGGTGAAATCATGGGAATGTAAACATATATAAATATGAATGATACGAATGTGGGAGGGAACCAATCCCTTCCCCTCATTGTGCCTGCTCAGTCAAGTTCCAGAAAAGGGCAGGAAAGAGCAAAAATAGCCCAGAACAAGTCTGACTGGAAGGAAAATAGTCAGAGAAAAACACCTGTTTCAGCTATCGATCAAGTCAAAGGTTATCAGAGAAATGATATTGCTTTTGCTTTGACATTTCTTTCTCTGAAATTAGGCTCCTATTAAACCCAGTGAAGAATACATTTAAAGACCAAATGCTCCTAAGGAACCTCCTGTCCTCTTGGGTGGGCCAACCATCTGTCTTCATTCAGGTTTCTTCCCAAGATGCCTCCTTTTCTAGGCACTCACTCTGAGGCAGCCAGGATGTATCAACACTGACTGTGTAATTCTACCATCTGCATCAGATAGCATGGTTTCGCAAATACAATTTATTTTAATGAATCTATTCATTTTTGCTCATTCTTCTTTCAAAAAAGGAGTTAAGGTGGCTTAGAGAGACCCAAAACCTAATAAGATGAGGTAAACTAGGAGAGGATAGGAAAGATGGGGCGAACGTAGAGTTATATCAGGCAGCTGCAGACTGCACATCCCATTTGCTTGCTAAGAGGGAGCCTCATCTCTAACTTAACCATTCATTGGATTACAAAATCATTTGTACACCATTTTTATTCTTCTTTGTTTTGTGGCTGAGTTTGTATTTCTCAACAATCCTGGAGGGTTCAAATTTGGTCCCTTAACAAGGGGAGTCTTGCTGTGTACTTCTGGCTGAAGCCTTCCTCTCTGGGATTTCTCTACCAGCGAAAATAGAGGAAGCAAACCTGGTTAGTTTTATAATGTCTACAGCTTGAAAGGAAGCAAATTACCCAGATGGTGCATAGCTAAAACTAAGCCAGACAGGAGTTTCTTCCATGGGTTTCTACAGAGGACAGGCTGAATCTTAGCACTTGCTGGTCTTCTGTTGTATGCAAGATGCAGGTGCAGGAACCCTGGGGCGTGCAAAGAGCCCCCTGCACAGCCTGTCCTCTGAGAGCTTAGAGTCTGATTTCTGGCAGAAGCACTCTCTCTCTTCTCCTAGTCTCTCTGTGAATGTGTTCACACAGGGTGCCAGGCACTACTGACTAACTGCTGTACCACCTGCTATCCCAAGTCTCTTACACACATTAAACTATGCAATCCTCACCCCTTTAGTCCAGGTACTATTAGTGTCTCCATTTTCCAGGGAAGGACCTGAGGCCCTAAGAAGTCAGTTAACTGCCCAGAAAAATTTGTAATCAGAATGGAATCTGTCTCAGATTCGGGTCATTGATCAAGAGAATACATGAGCTTAATCACTGTGCCGTGTGGGGGGTCTTAAGTATATTTCTTGGCCCCTGGAGAATATGATCATATGCTAAGGAACGCGATCCCAGACCTCCCGGTCTCACACTGAGGAGACAACAGCTTCAGGAATCATTTGTGTAGGAGGCTTTGTTGTACTTCACAGAATACCATCGATGTCTTAGTGAAATTTATGTAAATCAAATTTTTTTGACGCTTTCTAGTATATGAATTCTTTTTAAAAATACCAAGAATTCAAGATTTGTAAATCCCATTACTCTCTTCTGTTATGCCTATTATAAGAACTATTTTCCAGGTTTGTTTAAATCAAGGTCCTGCTACAACAGTTGAGTGCAGCTGAGTGTGGCTGTTTAAGGTAGAGTCTCTGCTAATGAGACTTCACCATGTGGGTGGGTACAATCTGCATAAAACATGGCAAAAATGGCCTCTTGCTTTCCCACGAAGATGACAAGCTGAGCTTTCTAGGCTCCTTTCTTCATGTATTTCCATTCACCTGGAAGGAGAAGTCAGGGAACTAGAGGAACACAGACTTGCCTCACAAGGAGAGTTCTTCATCGGTGCAGGAAATGTAGCACTGGTCACCGTCGCACTTTCAGAAGTGGGAACATCAGTGGTACTGAGCAATAGGGCATGACCTGCGGGGAGAGAGGAAGAGAGTCACAGATGTACTATCAACATGTACTGAGGGCTCCAGGGGTACAGAGTTAGTGGATTATGCTCAGTTCTGATTTAGCTAGGGACATAATTGAGGATGCTGGCTTCTTGCCTACAGTAGGTAAGGCAGTCTACTTATAATTGTCAACAAACCGTGGCTTGTGCTAAGACCTTCATTCTACACTGCCCAGGAGGTCACAACACCATGCATCTCACTACTGTAACTTCTGAGCTCACCAGCTTCAACCCAGAAGCAGCCTGAAGTTGGCTGGACTCTCCTGTCCCACCTTCCCTATTGATGGTCCTCGTGACCTTCATTCTCTTCTCCCTGCTCCAGGGCCCGGGTCATCCTGTGGTCCATGCCCTTCACGGGGAGCCTTATTTTGTGCATTTCCTCAGTACCACTTGTCCCCCAAAGCTGTGAGATCATGAGCTGCCAATCATCTTGGTGGCAGGAGAAACATCTCTAAACCTATAGCAAATGCAGAGCATTTTGAACACGGTCAGTTCTATGAAGATGCGAGTTCCCATCTTTCTCGGGGTCCACAGAGCTGCAAACATGACTCCAGATCTATCTTCATTTCTACTTTCCTCCTTTTCTTAGAAAAGTTTGTTACTGAATTGTTACCAAGTTGTGAATATGAATGGGTTCAGAGCAGAGTTACCAGTACGGGCCAGAGAAACCAGAAAGCTCGAGGCCAAGAGCTGAGCTTGGGTGGGGAGACAAAGAAAAAGGTGTCATTCAGTGTTGGGGACTGCAAATACTGTCTGCAAGTATTTGAAGTCCTAGCCTTCTGAGACCAGGAGTAGTACAGTTTTTTGGGGGTTCTTGGAGGAGAGAAAATCATGACCCTTGAGTATAATTCATGGAGTGGTAGAGCTTGCCTAAGGGCAAGAAGAAATGGTCTGAGATTCAGAACTGGTTAGAAAATGGAGTTTACTACTGGAGAGGTAGGAAAAAGCCCCATCACTGGCAGCATCCAACAAGACTGGATAATTCATCCGCTTTGATGCTATAGAGATGCCATCAAAGGGGGAGCAGAGAATGAGAGACAGGCCTGTGAGTTCCCTTTCTTCTCTGCTTCTTCTTAGAGCACTAAGATGATGCCATGAAATAGGGAGGGCAAGAGAAGAGCAGGAGCTCTTGGGCCCTTCTCATGGGCTGTGGGGCCCCCGTGGAACTCTACTTTGGCTGCAGTAACTCAGCTTTCTGTCTAACAGGGCCACTGTGAGAGTGTCCTGGCCCAAAGCCAACTCCCTTGGCTTGGCTGTGGCTAGCTATGAAGATGGAAAACAGAACTGTTTGGGCTCTGGGATTCATCAGGACTGATCCGGATGCTCTCCTCTCACACACTCTTCATTATTGGTACTACTTCCTAAAATAACCCATAGGACATGTAATGTTCCCTTGGAAAGGGAGGGGTTTCCTAAGGGCAGTTTCAGTTCCACCTAGAAAAGGCAAATGCAGAGAAAGAGACAGATCCTTACCCTGCCCAGGAGTGGATACTAGGGCTTGTCTCAGCATAGCCTGTAGGTTCAAACCAAGGCTGGATCACGGCTGGGTGGCCTGGCCTCTTTAGCAGCCTGGTCTATGCTGGCCTTGCTGATGCTCTCTGATTCCAAACCCTCCAGGCTAGTGTTCCTGAGCTGACGCCGCAGATGCGGATGAGGGTAGCCGTGTCTTTTTGGCATGGAACAGGAATGATAGGGAGGCTCCAAGGAGGGGAGGAGAGTTGTTGCCAGCTGAAATTGGTGAGGATGGGAGATGGCTAAGGAGTCTGGGCCACAGGGAATAAACCAGATGTGGAGCAAGGTTCCTGGGGCATGGCCTAGGCAAAAGGCCTCTATATGCCTCAGTCTCCTTGTCATAAAGGGGGCTATAGTGTTCTCTACTTTCCAATGAATTCTGTGCCTGACACATGGTAGGGCCTTAACACAGAATGGATTATTATGATTGCTGCTGCTGGTTTTCAGTTAATCCCTCAATAAAGCTTTACTTTAAGTAACAGAAGGTGACATTGAGCTTGGCCAGATTTAATCATTCTAGAGTCCAAAAAGGGATGAAGAGGAGCCTGGGTGTGAGCACCCTAGAAAAACTTTGGGTAGAGATACTGAAGGCGAGGAGAAGCCTAACTGCTTTGGGATCAGGTCCCAAGTTTCTTACATGTCTACATGGACACTAGGTTGGGCACCAGGGAGAAGGGAAGAAAGAGGTAGTACCTTGGCGACCCTGGGACTGGGCATTCTTCAGGTTCCTGACTTGCCACTGGGGCATGTGGGGTGAGAGTATGCTTTGGGTCCAACCACAGAAGTCATCTTCAAAGTTGCAGTAAAACCCAGCAGGAAGTTTACCTGTAGAGAGAGAATGGGGCATGGTCATTGCCAATACAATAATGGCAAACTATGCCAGAGGTGACCAAACTATCCTCATCAGTGGTGCCCCCCCTCACTCCAGTGAGGAAAATGGTATCTGATGGTACAGATCACAGTGAATAGCAGTCCCCATGTCTTAATTTGTGTGCGTGCTGCTTTGTGATTTTCTGATCCTTCATAGAAAATGAAATGGAAGTATAACTCCACAGCCCAGTTTCATATGTGACAAAGTAGAGGCTCAGAAATGTTAAACAACATGGTCAAAAGCATCCATCTAGGAGGCATTCAACAGGGACTAGAACCCAGATTGTCTGCTTTTCAGTTCTGTGGTCTTAATGCTGATCTACTATGAATGTGGTGCAAGAGAGGGCAATGCATCGCTTGGTGGCACACACCTCTAATGACTGACCAAAGGACAAGAGTGTGGTGGTATCAAAGGGACAGGTAACTATGGATTGGTTTGGGTCTCTTAAATCCCTGGGTCCACATAGGTACATGCTGTTCAGTTTTTTCCACTTGCTACCCCCTCTTTATTTTGCAGGAAGTTATGAGAAGCAGTGTGACTAGTTCCAAGTAATCAGGTGAGTGGCAGTTAGGTGTGTCTCATCTGGATCTAGCCTGTGAAAAGCCCTTGTGTAAACCTTCAGTCTCTCTTCTCTTGTAAAACTGAGGAGCTCTTGTTTTTGAGTCAACCTCAGCTGGCTGGAGTCCCCGAGGTAGCCTGTGGAGTTGAGCTCCCTCCCAGCCCATTTCTCACTGGACAGGTGCTGTAAATGCTATTGAAGCCACTGATGTTTTGGGATGGTTCATTACTGTAACATCCCTGGCAAGCCTGCTCAAACAATTGAGTGGCCTCAGTTGCAGTGGCCAGTTGCTGCGGCCTCTATGTCACCTGCAGGCTCAGCAGCAAGGGCCTGTGATTCTAGGTCATAATCTGCTTTCTATACCATATATTTCCCAGGTGCCCCCAGAAAGAGGAGGAAAGAGGGAGCTCAAGAGAGCTCACTTTCTCCAGTTTCCTTTGAGGATGGCTCTGGGCAGGCTCTCAGCTAGGAGAGCTAGTGGACCAGGGCCACTCTGGGCTAAGCTATTTTGACAGCACCCAGCAGCTCCAGGCAGGGCTGAGCAGCAAGGAGACAGCAGAGCTCTATCTCCACCTGGGGGCGGAGCTCTTTAAGAGACCCCCACCTCCCACTCCCTATGTCCTTCCTCTGTCTCAGCCTTTCTTGGCAGTAGCAGGCTGACGAGGGCCCTCACGCTTCCTGGCTGTGACAGCACCTCAGTGAATTATTACTTTTTTCCCCCCGATTCCCTGTGCATTTCACACCAAGGCAGAATTATAAATTAAAACAGGCTGTCACTGACTTTGAGCATCTCTTCCCATTTATACCCCCCTGAAGAAATCGCTTTCCCCCAAGCCTCATGCATTCTTCTGATTAAAACTCCAAAACCTAAGGAGATCTTTCTGTTTTAGTCTTTTATTCCTGCCCTCAGGGGACCCCATATCCACGTTTTTCACAGAAACTAACTAGCGTCTGGACCTTCCATGGTCCATGGAGCATCCCTTCATAGGCATGACCTTCCATGGAGCATCCCTTCATAGGCATGCTTTAAGAGCCAAAGATCACAATGGAAGATTCCAGCAGGTCTGGTGGAAGATGGAGGCAGGGCTGAGCAGGGGCTTAGCATGTCCATCCGTCCTAACCATTTGGGCAGTGGCATCATAGCAGTAACTGGGATCCAGTCCTGGGGCTCTAGAGCCTCAGTCTTCACCTCTGTAAAATGGGGGAATATTAATGCCTATTGTATAGAGTTGGCTTTAGGACAAAATAAAGGGGAGAATTTGGAAACATCTTGTAATTGGAGTTGTGAAAATAGAAAGTGGTTGTGTGAGTATGCTTCCATTTCTTTATACCTACACCAGAAGTCACTGGGGTAGGACTTAAGTAGCCAGTGCTGCCGCTGCCCCAGGTGGGAGACTGGAATAGGTCCTCCCTGCCTCTCTGGAAAGATCTGGGGGTTGCCTAGATAGCTCCTGTGCTTTCCACAGGGACAAAAGTAGCATTCTCTGTACCTTCTAGAAGCCTGCCTACGTGCCAGCCATCAGAGGACCCGGGGTAAGCTGGGATGGGAGGCCCCATTTCTTTTTGCCCGAATAAAGGAGAAGAGGTGGGCAAAATAGCAAGGTAGGTCAATGGCTGGCTTATGTGACAATTAAGTCTTGAAGGAAAAAAGGGGAGCCAGGGGATTTCCATCATTTTAAGCACATCAAGGGAGTATGCTCAGCAGGAAGCCACTCTCGAGGGAGCTGGTGGGGGTGGGGGTCAAAACAAACACCCATGATGGACTAGGCTGAAATCAAGAAATCATTGCTAAGGTCAGTTACTGAACATAAGACTGGCCCATCAGACTGGTGTGTTAGTGTCAGACAGCCTTTGATTACCATCTTCTCACTCTCCCCCAGCACCTATGGAGTACCTGGCCCTTTGCAGAACTTCAATATTTATTTGCTGAAGGAAAGGAAACCATGTTCAATCCTTAACTTCTTCTCACCGAAAGTGGGCTCCAGGGACATATCTCCAGTTTCATCCCCGTGGCCTGTGAAGTTGGAAGCATGGACTCTCGGGCCCCACCCAGCCTGCTGGTTAGAATCTGCCTTTTGAGTAGACTCTCTAGGGACTCCCTGACTAACCTCACATCAGAGAAGCATTACTCTCACAGATCCCCTCCTTGGGCTGTAGCCAGGATTCTCATCAGCTGGATGGCAAATCGAGTTGTGTGTGGGTCAATCAATCCCACCACATTCAGCAATTATGACACCTGATTCCACTCTAAGAGAGACAAATGGCCAGAGTCACAGGGATGTGACCCCAGCCACAGCTGCAGGAGCTGCCAAGTGTAAACGGCAGGCCAAGTGATACTACTTCTTTTCCTCCCCGTGTGACAACTCTGTTAACATTTTTGATAAATATGTGTTAGACATTTCCTTGAAAATATGGAGTCATGGGGAAAATGCTAGAAGAAATCTATCAAAATATTATGGTTATCTTGGAATGTCTGAGAGGGAGGATTATGGGCAATAGTATTTTCTCCTGTGCACTTTTCTGGATCTTCCAAGTATTTTATAACCAGAATGTTTTATTTTACAATAAAGAAATAAACTTAAAAAATACTTTGGTTTTGCCTGGCAAGATGAACACCCTCACAAAACAGAGACGATTATTGGGTCCTGGAAGGGGGAGGGGAAGTGATCTATTTGCAAGAGCTTGTGAGTAGGTGACTCATTAGGGAATCAAGGAGGGGGGCACCTCTGGCTGCTTTCTAGGGAGTCACATGCCATTGAGGTCAATGGTCAGGACACATAAGGACCCTTCAGTGGGGTACGCATCTGGGATGCCTCCTTTAGATATGGTGATGTTTTAAATTGGAAATGCAGGATATTGACAGGTATTATGCTACAGATAAGGAAAGATGGTGGCAGAGCTCTGGACCTCCCTGGTTCTTCTTGACTCCTTTGTCCCAGGTGAGTCTATAGTGAGGTTTAAAGCTCAGCACAGTCAGGTGAGAAAGTCATGCAACAAATGAGTGTGGTCTACAGTGTTCCAGAATGTGGGGCTGGCTCTGGAGCCAGACTGAGCCCAAATCACAGCTCAGCACTGGGTAAAGGTTTAATCATGGATGATAGCTTTAGCCTCCTGCTCTCTGAGCTAGCTATGATGGCATCACCTAGGTTTGCTATGACTGTAAAATAGGTTCATCCTGGAAGAGAGCACCTGGCACAGAGCAGATGCTCCTGTCTGTGGCTGTTATCATCATGGTGATGACTTCCGGCATCAACAGTGCGACAGAGAAAACAACAGAAGAGCCAGAAAGAATAGGGTCACATGCAAGAGAAAGGATATTTGCTGAGTGTTTTGCCAAGAGCTGGTGGAGAGAAGACTGGAATAACTTTCCTCTTGAACTAAGCTTTCCTTCCTAGCAACCCTTTTCTGATTTCTGCAGCACAGGACTCAATGTGTATGTTCCCCAGGGTGGAGCTGTCCTTCTGACGGCTGGTCAGAGCAGTTTTTCCAACATGGCTGAAAAGGCCACTGGGCTCCACACTCTTGACTTCAATACCCAAGCCGGGCTGCCCTGAAGTTTGAAGCTGGCTCCAGAAATCCAGGATGACCAGCTATGGAGGAGTGGGAGATGCCCCGAGCCACAGTAATGGGCTGGATCCTGAGGGCTCAGTGCTCTAATCTCCGCTCTGTTCCTGACTTGCTGTGTGACCCTGAACAAGTCAATTACTTTCTCCCTGCCTTCATTTTCCCAATTGTAAATCAGGGCCTGGCCTGCCCAATTTATGTCCCAGCTGGGAAGTGAGTATCAAAAAGCTTTTAAAAGGCATTTTCAAAATTACTGAGTTCAGAGGCACTGCTGGAAATACCATAGACACAAATAACTAGACTCATATACATAGGCTGCTACCTAGGGCACTGTGAGTAGTCCTGGCTGCATTTTGCTGTGAGAACTTGAGAAAGACTGGGAGCAAAGAGCATGGGGTACAAAGTGCTACCCTGCAACTCGTCATGGAGTTTTATCTAAAAACATGCCAATGGGGCTGGGGCTATACCTTAGTTGGTAGAGTGCTTGCTTAACATGTACAAAGTCCTGGGTTCGAGCCCCCCCCCCAAAAAAAAGTGGACATAGTGGCTCAGGCCTTAGCCACATAGCAAATTTGAGGCTATCTTAGGGTACATGAGACCTTGTCTCAAATAAACAAAATCCACCATAATTCCATTATCATTGAAAAACTTCACTTCAAATCTTTATATAAAAATGAGATTTTTGAAATGGAAAAGTGAATGTCATTATTGTTTCTCTCCAAATGAGAGAAAAGAAAATCTTTTATTTTTTATTTTTTTTCTATTTTTATTGAATTTTTGTATTTTTCATATATCTTCTTAATCATATTTAGAGCCTCTTCTCTCTCCTCCCCATAACCCCACCCCCACCGGATTTCATCTCTTCTGTCATAAAAGTTAGTGCCTATGGAGTGAAGTTTGTATTCTCAGATGTCCCTCTGTGTGAGTTCATCCATTGGTGCCTGGTCAGCCTATCTAGCATCACTCCCTTAAAGAAGACCAGTTATCCCTCACCCAGCAGTGATCTGTAAGACCTTTTAAATTCCCATGGCGTTTAGATGACTGAGGGACACTGTTCAGTTTTTAGAACTATTAGGCAACATTCCTCCCAGTCAGTGGTGTTTATGGCCCGTGTCTGAGCTCCTGGTCTGGGTCCCATGGCCTTTCAGGCACGACTCTGCCACCCCCTATCCCATCAAGTCCACTGCTTCCTTCTCTGCCCCTGCTTTGGGTTTTTGCTGCTTTGCAGATCGGAACCTTGGCATTCTCCCTTGCCCCAGGATTTAGCACATTTTGTAGCTCACTGCAGGTGTTCTCTAAGCGTCTATGGTTTCCCTGGTGAAAACTGAGAGCTCAGCTGCCAAGGGCACACTGCTCAAGTGGAGGGATGGGACGCAGCTACCCATCATCGGTGGGAATGCTGCTGCTTTGCCCCCAGATATCAATGTGGCCACAACAATTTGATTTTCTTTATGTATCTCAAGTTTCCCAACTCATTCATTTCAATCAGCAGTGAGTTCCTATCCTGTGCCAAGAATCAAGAGAGATACTGGCACTGAATCAAGATGACCAGACCCCACAGAAAGGAAGTGTGACTTGGAAACTTCCTCTATAACACATAATAGATACATGCCTGCTAGGCATAGCTAAAATAAAAAGACATATCTAGCTAAAATGAAAAAGATAGCTAAAATGAAAAAGACGTATCTAGCAAGTGTTAGCAAAGAGTAGAGAGACCAGAACCACTGTGTATTACTTGCTGATGGGTAGGTAAGATGAGGCCCTGTTTTTCAAAAATTTTTTTGACAGTTTCTCAATATATTACATGTAAAGTTACCATGTGACCCAGGAATTCTATCTTATGTAGATATTAATTGAACACTTATCCATGTAAAAATTTGTATGTGAATATTAATAACATTATTCATAATAGTTGTGAACTAGAAACAACCCAAATGTCCATGTATTATCAATGAGTAATAAGAAAATTGTGGCATATCGACACAATGAAACAATATTCTGCAATAAAAATGAATGAGCACTGATACCCTCCATGATGTGGCTGAGTCTCAAAAATATTAAGCTAAGTGAAGAAATTAATCATAGACACATATTATGTATAGATCTAGCTTATATGAAATGCCTAGGGAGGCAAATCTATTGAATAGAAATATTAGTGGTCAGGGCTAGTGGCAGAAGGGTGGGAGGGAAATGGAGAAAAATTGCAAAGTGTTTCTTTTGGGGGTGATAAAATGTCCTAATATTAGACTGTGGTAATGGTTGCACAATCCTGCAACTATACTAAGGAACATTGACTTGTATACTTTAAATGTGGGAGCTATATGGTATATGTTTTATATCACAAAAGGGCCATTAATGAAAAATGTCATGGAAATGATTATGGATGGATGCACCCACCTGGGTGGGAAGGGTCCAGAGGACAAAGAACCAACTGCACTTTTGGGGGATGGTCAGGGGAGGAACCCCAGGAGAATGGGCTCTTGAGGAGAGTCTTGAAGGATTGAGAAAGAAGGGGTGTTCTCAGCAGGGGAAACCACAGGAGCAAAGCCAGGGAGGCTCAACAAGCTGGTTTGTTATGGCCGCAGCTGGGGTCTAGGGGAGATGGGGAGGATGAGCAAGGCAGAGCTTGGAAAGTGAGGCCAGTGTGGGCATGGAGGATTTCTGATGTCACACCACAGGGTTAGCTTCCTCTTGCCCATTTCCTCTGTGCCCTGAGAATGCTGACAGCAGAACTTACAAGATCTTGTTTGATTTCTAGTGTGTATGACCACAGATCACGGTGGACTGTGCTATTTCTAAACCTCATATGTTAGTTCTGTATTTTGCAAACTGTGTGTTACCAGAAGAGAGTCACAAGACTCACTGGGTGTCAGAAAGGCTATCCAGGCTTACATGCATAGGGTGATGGGGACACAAAGGGGTTATAGGAATGGCTATGGTGCAGGGTGGGGGCTGCCCCATAGACTTACTGCACAGCGGTCCCTCGTCTTCTCCCTGAGCACAGTCCCGGTGGAAGTCACAGGCATGCCCCAGCTGGAGAACTGTCCCATTCCAACAAGTGAAGGAGCTCTGCAGGGCCATCTTGGAGCCTGGGGATGTTCCTACAGAGTACACAGACACATGTTTCTTGTCAGTTTGGGTGGCTGCAGGCATTGGTTGATCCCATGGGAAGGTTGCCCCACTGTTTACATCTCAAGGCTTGACTTGAGACACCTGTATCTCTGTCTGACCACACTGAAAGCCAATGGGAAGAAGTCAAAGCCTGTCATATAGTCTCACAGTCTATTGAGACTCTCACCTTCCAGTGATGGTGAGTAACAAGGTGGCTGGGTCTTGGTCCATGTTCCCCAATCATTCTGGGGTCCTCATATTCATGACTTTTGTGTAGCAAAGCCTCCAGGATGAGTCCCCTCTATATGTGGCTCTACCTTCAAGGTCAAAGTCAAATTTGGGCTGCCAACAGATATACCTGAAGTGTAACTTCTCTAGGCCCCAACCTCAGATTCTAGCATTAGAGTAATTTACTGAGTTGATTCTAGAGATCAACAGGCACTTGCTGCTAGGGAAAGTAAAGAACATCATTGTGAGGGATTGGCCTGGACTCTGGGCCTCGCTCCTCCTTGACTGTCAAAGTGAGGCTGGCCCTTATCTCTCCTATGAAATAAGGGATTTTGACTTTATCTAGAAGATTTGCTCTAGTTCTGAAATGCTTAGAGAAACCACAGTTTCCAAGGAGGAAGGGAGAGCAGCAATTTATAATGAACATATTAGCAGTTGTTAGTTTCTGAATTAACAGTGATACATCATGATAATTAACTAGCCTGTGGCCACTTAAGTCTCTGCAAGCTGGAGAGATCCAGCTATGAGGAGAGGGAGCAGGCTGACCTGACATCAACTCCCCTGCTGAATGGAGGGGAGGAAGAGCCTGGCCAGGAATTTCTGCTATTCAGCTCCCATTTGATATGGGGTGGGAGGCTCTGGTCCCAGTGGAGAGGAGCGGCAGGGCCCACCTGCGGTGACCCTCAAGTGTGGCTGTCTTATCCTCTGCTCCTCACCGGTCTCCCCACCCTACCCCCTTAGTTCTGTCCTCATGATGGCAGTCTTCCCCCCAACCCCTAAATGCCCCAACCTCTCTGATCCTCACAAACAGGTGAGCATTTCCAACTCTTCCTGCAAATTCAGATTTAGCTGATTCTAATGTGGGACTCCAAGGTAGACCATCTTTAATATCTAGAATTCTGTGATTTTTTTTTCTGGTTCATTGGTATGTTCCCCATAGCAGTGAAATGAAAATCATGCCCAGTCTGTTTACTCTAGAATTCTGCCTATCTTGGTACATTGAGCTCGGTGAGGAAACTACCCAGGTCTTAACAGTGCCCATTTCCATTTCCTAAGTAAGGAAACTGAGGTCAGAGAGGTTCAGTGACCAGTCTAAGGTCTCACAGCCAGTATGTGACATTCAAACCCAGGACTGCAAGGCTGCTTTCTGTCTCATGGAAAGGATGTGTTGGAGGTGACCCTGTCCCCTTAGTTGCAGCCCAGTCCAGGCAAAATTCAGTTTATCAGATGAAACTGATGGTGTTGTGTAAACTATTTCCTCTCATAAGACTCGGAAAGTCAAGAAAACTTACAAGGCTTAAGAAAATTACAAGATTCACAGGGCCCCTCTCCACGTTACAGAAACAGTGAACAATGGCTCCATGAGTGGAAACTTCCTGTGTAGCTGCCCTCCAGTTGTGCAGGGACCTACAGGCGTGTGTATCTCATCTCCCATGCTGAAGTGTCTTTTGCAGTGATAAGCTGCCTTTAAGCCACTCGTGCTCCTGTAATAGGCCCCTCACCTATGTGCTTGTAAGACTGACATAAACTCATCAGCTCACCAAGTTAGACTTGGGTGGAATTATTTCTTTAGTATGTCATCAGTGCTCTACCTGAGGTGAATAGGCATCTATTTAGATTTCACCAAGAAAAGTCACAGAACAGATGGTCACTTGGCATAGTCAGACTGACCTTCAGTCTGGCTGGACCAGCTCTGTAACATCTAGGCACAGGACAATCAGCTCCATGTCCTCAAGTGAATCCTATCTGGGCCTTTAACCTGTTCCTTAAAGTCTCAGGATCTGAGCCCAGGGCTTTGCTATTTCTTTTCCCCTTGCTTCTCTCCATGAACCCATGCAACAGTCATGTGATGGTTCACCCACACTCTGCTCTCCATCCAGGCTCAGCTCACAGACCTCACCTGTGACAATTCTGTGCCTTTTTCCCTACATGCATTTGGCCTTGACTCCATTCAACTGGGCTCTTGAACTCATAAGCAAGTTATTATCTTCTCCATCAAGTTTTCTGAGCATCTGGCCATTCTCCAGCTCTGCACAGACCAGGTCTCATAGGAGAGTTCATGACTAGCCTTAAGAGGTTACATTTAGTGCACTTTGACTGATGTAATGGCCCCCAAATTCTCAGAATCTAGTGGGATGACGAATGTTACCTTATATGATAGGAGGGACTTTACTTTGCTGATGTGATTAAGTCTTTTAGGTGGAGAGATCCTCCGGTATCATATAAGGGGCATCCTAAGGATCCTTATCAGAGGGAGTCAAGAGAGTCAGGATGTCAGTTCACAGAGGTAGGGAACCTTTCCCCATATCTCAAGGAATGGGCCGTATAGCAAAGCCTTAAATAAACAAGGGCTACAGGCAGAAAAGTACTAACTAGGACCAGTGTTCATCCAAGACACCCCTTATCCAGGAATCCCCTTAGGACTTTTCAAACACTTGGCTCAGCTAAGTCTAATCAGATGATGTCAGCTGACCTTAACCCATTTCATCCTGGCACAACCTCTTTGCTCCCCACTCTCTCACAAGGGTCCTTAAAAGAATAAAGTCTGCTCTCTCTAGGTAGGTTGAAGTTTTCCTTCAGACCTTGCTGCTTTGTCAGCTCTGCCTGAAGATCCAACCAAGCCTGTGTATGTTTCTCTCTAATTGGGTTTCTTGAACTCCCCAAACTGAACAATAGAAGCATGAATTTCGGCAGTGGAAGGAGGGTTGTGATCCAGAGTACAGAAGCCCTGAGAAACTTCCTGGAAAAGGAAGGGAAATGGGTTCTCTAGAGAGAACAGCCCTGCCCATCAGCCTCTAGAAACATCCCAGGGAAAACGTGATTTCAGACTTCCGCCCTGCAGAGCAGTTAGAGAATAAATTTGTGTTATTTTAGGCCATTAAGCTTGTGGTAGTTCATTACAACAGCAAGAGGAAATTAATACACAGTCTAAAACGAGCTCTAGCTGAAATCACAGTCCAAGCCAGCCGAAGCCTTGGTGGACTGGAGCCCAGAGTAGGTTTAGATCAGCTTCTCAGTGTTTCAAATTGCTTCTATGATGAGTTCTTTGTAGTTCTCTGGTTTGATCATCTTTTTTCCTCTCTTCCTTATGAGGGAAGAATGTCACCCACCTGTTCCTGTGCCCAGAGACAGCGTTAGATTCTTCTCACAGAGATCCCTAGCTCCTCAGTGTACACAGAATGAGACTGCAGAGCCCTGAATGGGACCCTGGGATCATTGTAGAAGAGGGGACCAAAAGATCCTAAGAGTCAGAGAACGGTAGATGACTATAAGGAAGTAGTGTTTTCCAGACAGCAGGACAGTTGCTCATATGAACTCACATCAATTCTGACAGTGAAAGCATGTAAAAAACCTATGATGTAAGCTGAACTCAGACAAAATCCCAGCTTGGAGAAGGAAGTGGGTAAGAATCCCCAGTCCTAGTCAAGGAATGATTGATTAGCAACTGACAGTGGCTGGGAGAGGGAATGTCACTTTTCTTTAAGGTGATGCTGAGTAGGCTGACCAGGCTCCAGGGAACAGACCTACACTGAAGGGTATTTGGGGACACAAATTAGATTTGATAGGCTTTAAAAATAATAAAAAATATGAAATTAGACAGGGAGTAATAAGGGGTGCATACAGAGGGGAGGGGGTCTGAATATGATCAAAATACATTGTATGAAATCTCAAAAATTCAATAAAAATATTCTAAGCATAGGGTGCATTCTAATGTACAGTGCAAACTCACCCTCCTTCCCACTCCCTGCCAATTCCAAATATCCTCAGATAAAAACACAGGATCAAAAAATAAAAGGCATGACATAGACACAATGTCCCAGTGGAAAGGTAAGGCGTCAAGTTTATTTCACGGCTTTAATTCTGTGCATCAATTTTCCACTTGTCAATCAGTTCTCAGCTAAAAAAATCCATGCCTGTGTTAAACATTCTGATTGATTAGCACCACAATGATTTGGAGAGTTGGAATGTTGCATGTCCACAGCCAAATTACCTTGTGATAACTTAGCCCTTTAATATCCATTTATTGCTTACCTCTGTGTACAAGCTAACATTTTTGTGACTATTAGGTACATCCTTTTGGAACTTTCCTTTCTGACTCCTAGATTCCATCAACCCATAGGCCAAGAATACCATCAGATAATATGAGGTCTGTGGCAGACAGATTTCCTCTCTTTGTTGTAAAGAACTTACCTAATGCTTCCACCAATATATTTGAAAAGTCTCTTGATTTATCATTTTCTTTGTCTGGTTACTATAAAAACATGAAATTGCTACCATGTTGGAAGACGTATTTGGGGTAACCTAAATCTGTGTTCCTAGGTCATGGACACTCAGATTTGATTCCAGAATAAACTACCTCTATTCCCTTTGTAGTGAGAACTGTCCTTTTTTGTGTGTTGTCAATGTCCTTCTGGAAGTTAAGAGGTAAAATGTTTTCCCAGTAGCTGGTCTTGGGGAAGATTCAGTCTCTCCTGCCAAGCCACAGAGCACAGCAGAGGCAATTTCCTAAAGTAATGACTGTGGGGGTCTCTGCAGGGGTGTTATGGACCCAGCAATCCAAGGCACACGGGCCTCTACTCATCTGATCACTAAACTTGTAACAAATAGGATGGGGCTACTTTATTATTGCTACTATGTGGGAGGAACTGTGGAGTTTGGTAATATTACCCATCTTCTCTGCCCTCCTTCAGGACAAAGGTCCTGAAGAGTTTGATCTTCCAACTCTTGTGTTAATGGTACTCAAAGGGTGGAAACTTAATTA